GTAACTCATGCCACATAGAAAAATATAAGCGCAGTTCTGAAATTTGTAACATGAAGAGGGTTTGTTGAACAACATCCAATAAGAATTAAAAAAAGATTGAGAGGGTATCTCAAAGGCTCCCATAAAATTATGACCCGAGTTTGAGCTTACTATAGCTCAATCTGAATTAAGCCCCATTAAATAAACAACTAGCATATGTATTGAATCTACAATTCAACAAATTTATGAGATATTTATTTTCATACAAATAACACTTAGATGACAAAAGCATTTATCAACGAATGAGATTCTGAGCTTGCCTTTATCTATAGAAACTATTTTAAAACTCACTTTAATTTTTTTTTTTTTACATTATTCGATTTTTTCTAACATAATAAATATTTATGTTTTAAATAGAATTAAACCATTTCAATGTTCAAACATTTCTCATACTTGGGAGTATATTAGAATTTCCACGTATCGTTTTTCATACAAGTTATGCTATCTTACAAGTATTTGAAATTTTAATCGATTTTATCATAATCTCTATATTTTGATGTTTTATTTTCGGAATTATCTAACATTTTATACTATGGTCTACACTCTACATGGATGAAGTTTTTATTTTGAGGATTATGAATAACTAGACCATTCACATGGTTTCAGTAATTTTCAAATTTTTTTTTTGTTTGTAATTTTTCACACTAAATCTCGACTTACGGAGTCTCTCCTGATCCAAAATACTATATTTTTTAATTGTTATTATATATTTATGTCCTATTTTTCAGTTTATTTTCTCTAATTCTTTTTTACTTCATTTATTTAATGATCAATTTTATGTTATGACAATTAAATTTATATATATTTCTTTTAATGAATTCATATTATTAAATTTGTATAAATACTAATGTTGTTACCGATATCACTAAGAAATTTTATTATAATTATTATTGTCATAAATCAAACTAATCATTATTTTCACTTTTGAAATGCTATCCCGTGCAATACACGGGAAAATATGCTAGTAAAAATAAAGCCAAAATATATATGAGTCAAGTTTGAACCTACAATTATCAAATTAAATAATATGCGAGTTTGAGTTTGTAACCATGAAGTCCGATAGTATTTAAGTTTGAGGTTACTAAAACTCTGTTCAGGTGACCCGATTGTCTCCTACTTATAGATAAAAATAAATCTAATTATAGGGTAAATAGCACTTTACCTCCTTGTGGTTTGGACATTTTGCACATGACCCCCTTATGGTATGAATTTAGGCACATAACCCCCTTGTGGTTTCGACATTTTGTACATGACCCCCTTATGGTATGAAATTAGGCACATAACCCCCTCGAAGTTTTGAAATTTTGCACATAACCCCCTTATGGTATGAAATTAGCACATAACCCCTTGAATAGAAAACTGTAAACGACTAAAGTACCCCTATCAAGTCAAAAATTCTTATTTTAATTTAAAAATAATTATTCTATAAAATAAAAAGCTTAATGTACATTTTTGTAAAATGAGAAATATAATATATTATTGTGTTTTTTTTAATTTTACGACACAAAAGGTATATAATACTAGTTATTGTACGATTGACAATTTATTCGATTTTAAAAATCAATTTGAAAATCTTTAACATTACCATTAATTATGATTATTATATTATTATTTTCTATATAATATATTATATTATAGCTGTTATCGGATATTAATTTTTTTAAGAAACAGAGTCTTTATTTTTTTATTCTTTTGGAAAAATCTAAAAAAAAAACATTTCTCTAAAGTTGAAATAAAAATTAAATTTACAAAAAAATATGTGCGGTAAAATAGAAAAAAACACAATAATATATTATACTTCTCATTTTACAAAAAATACATTAAACTTTTCATTTTATAGAATAATTACTTTTAATTAAAAACAAGAATTTTTGATTTGATAGGGTTAATTTAGTCTTTACCAGTTTTCTATTTTAGGGGGTTATGTGCTAATTTCATACCATAAGGGGGTCATGTGCAAAATTTCAATACCACAAGGGGGTTATGTGCCTTATTTCATACCATAAGGGGGTCATGTGCAAAATTTCAATACCACAAGGGGGTTATGTGCCTTATTTCATATCATAAGGGGGTCATGTGCAAAATATCAAAACCACAAGGGAGTTATGTGCCTAAATTCATAGCAAAATATCCAAACTACAAGGGGGTTAAGTGCTATTTACCCCTAGTTATATTATGAATCCTTTAAAAATATAAGAAATCGGAAAAATATGTGTAGAATATTCATGGAGAACTCTAGAGAGTGACTCTCTACCATAAAATTAAATTAATCACCCTCATTCATTCATTAGGATGTGAATTAGTATAAATAGAAATGAGTGGGCTCAGCATTCAGGTCCTTGTGAATCTTCTGGGCGGCGGTATACATCTTGAAATGCTGCAAATAAAAAAATAAAATCAGTGTATATATATATATATATATATATATATATATATATATATATATATATATATATATATATATATATATATATATATAAATGATTAAATACAAGACATAGCCCGTGTACATGTTTAAATGCAGCTAATTCATTCCCACAAGTAAATACACATTATACACACATTAACTTTTCCCAAATTCTGTGTTCTAAAGAGATATATTTTTTTTTTTTGATTCCAACCAACAAACCCATAATTTTCTCACTGATTAAAAGCAAAAATCAAGAAAAATAGTTCATCATACATAAATTTTCTTGAAATGAAATAATCGATTAAAACTGAAGATCAGAAATTGAAGTGCAACAGAAGAATATAATCCTATTTGAGATCCCTTCACATCAACAAGGCTTAAAAATTACGCGAAGAAAGAACAATGCGCTATCGGGGAAGAAACAATCAAAATTATCGAATGTTGGATAAAAATTAAAATATACCCATTTCTACTGTGTGAGAGAGAGTACTACTGTGTGAGAGAGAGTACCTTGGTTGGTGTAGCAAGATGAAGTGAAACGAGAGAAACCGCAGTAATCACAAACGAACGGCTGCTGCAAAACGTATAAACTCTAATGTTGGCAGATTTTTATAACACATCCAAATGAATTGATTCGCGACCCGTTCAAATGGGCCTAGCCCATATGAGAAGCCCAATTGTACTTGGTTGTTTAGTTTTTACATTTTTACCCTTCTCATACATAATTAGGGTAATTTTTTTTTGATTGTGGGTTTTCAGAGCTTCAATTAGTGACTAATCAACAATAGTTATTAATATCCGATCTTTTTTCCTTTTGTCCTTTTCTTTTTTAGGTTGTTGGGTGGTTGGAGCATTGATTAGCTGACGAAACATTAGATGATATCCGATTCTTTTTTTGTTTACTTTTTTTCTTTCGGTGGCGGAAGTAATTTTAATTACCAATACTACAAGGGGTTTGTAAGTTATATAGTCTTACCTCAGAGGTGCACATAATTTACCCTAATTGTAATACATAGGCGAATTCATTTCGCAATTAATCCACTTACGTACTAAGATTGTTTTCAATTTTATAGCTGTCAATATGTAACGTAAAATTCTATAAATGGCTAGATATGCGGTTGTATTGTTTGAAAAAATTACACGCGATAGTCCACTACAATGTACTACAAAAATAGTTGACTTACACGTGATCCACTACAATGTAGCGGATTATATAGTTCACTACAATATAGTCGACTACATGTCCACTATAATGTAGTTAGCTACAATATATTTCTGCTAGAAATTGTTTAATTGATTAACATTCGACTTTGCTCAACTTGTTTTCTTTTGCGATATAAAGCCAAATCTGAAACTTTCTTCGAAATCTCGATCAATACTTGCCTATATATACATTAGCATCTGCAAATGCTTTTTCGTTGAGGTAACTCATGTCAATTGAAAATTATAAGTGCAATTCTGAAATATGTAAAATGAAGAGGGTTTGTTCCAAGGAAAAATAATATGATGAGTTTGGTTCCACAAAAAGAAAAGATCTAGAGGGTATCTTAAAGGCTCCCATAAAAATAATTCCAACTCATGTAATATACCTATTTATTCTTGTACTAAAATGTGAAATCCTGCGTAACACGAACACGGAAACGACGATACGGGAAAATAAGGAAATGATGCGTCCGGAAAATGGGGATAAGGGAACTTGGGGGGTTTCTTTATATTTCGTACAAATATATTCAAAATTAATATTATTATCAACTATCAATTAGCAGTTGATCAATAAATCATATAAGGTTGCGGCTATATGCAAGACTAATTTTACTTGTGCAAGACCAAATTAATTTTTTCAATGTATAAATACGATAATTAAAAAAATAGAAAATTCCAAATGTGCAATACAAAAAACTCAAAAACAAAAAAAACCCTATCATAAAATCACAAGACCAACTCTCATCTTCTCCATCAAAACCTTTCTTCTTCCTCATCTATAAACCCACAAAACCTAAACATTCAAAATCATCAAAACTCAACAAATCTTACAAAGATGGCAAGTATGGAGTCATAAGACATCAAAATAGAAGAATCTACGGTGGAATAATCCAAGAAATTATGCACTCATGTGTTTTTTTGGCTAGAATATCGTTTTTCCAAAAACAATTCCGCGCAGACGCAGTCGACATGTACATGTCGAATTTTATAGGCAAAAATCGACATTGAGATGCCGATTTTTTAGTACAAAATCGACACCTTAGTGTCGAAATTTAATTGTTAGTAAATTAGTCCAAATATACTAAATTTCGACATTAAGGTGTCGAATTTATGGACATATATTCGACACCTTAATGTCGAAATTTAGTTGTTTCATATTTCGACATGTACATGTCGAATTTTATAGGTAAAAATCGACCTTGAGATGTCGATTTTAGAGTACAAAATCGACACCTTAGTGTCGAAATTCAACTGTTAGCAAATTAGTCCAAAATTTACTAAATTTCGACATTAAGGTGTCGAATTTATGGACATATATTCAACACCTTAATGTCGAAATTTAGTTGTTTCATATTTTTTTATTATTTGTTATTTGGTCTTGCATGAGCAAATAAAAGCCAATTTATTTTATGGGTGTATTTGTCATTTCATCTTAATAAAATGGAATCTTTTGGAATCTTTCTTTAATTTGATCTTGCACAAGTGGAATTAGTATTGCATATGGCCGCAACCATCATATAATTAATTAGAAAAGTAACAAAAATATTTAAACATATGCTATTCAAACATGTTTTTTAATTTTAACTTTCCAGAAATTGCAAAATGGACCATAAAATGCCCAACATATATCTTTTAAATTTATTAAATCAAAACTCAACAAATTTATTTAATATTATTTTTTATAGAAATAACACTTAGCTGACAAAAGCATTTATCAATGAGTGAGAAATTTGAGCTTGCCCTTATCTATAGAAACTATTTTAAAATTTATTTAAAAAAAAAACGATTCGATTTTTTCTAACATAATAAATATTTATGTTTTTCATTGATTTAAATCATTTCAAAGTTCACACATTTCTCATACTTAGGAGTATATTAGAATTTCCACGTATCATTTTTCATACAAGTTATGCTATCTTACACATATTTGAAATTTTAATGGATTTTATCATATTCTCTATATGTTGATGTTTTATTTTCCATATTATCTAAAATTTTAATCCATTCACATGTGTTTCAGTAATTTCGAATTCTCCGATAACTAAAATAGATTAGTGTCATTAGCTTAGTTTGAGCCCGATATAAAAATAAAGTCAAAATATAGATGAGTCAATTTTGAACCTACGATTATCAAATTAAAAGTATATGAGTTTGAACTTGTAACCGTGAAGTTCAATAATATTTAAGTTTTAGGTTACCAAAACTCTGTTCAGGTGACCCGATTGTCATCCTACTTATAGATGAAAAAAAATCTTGTACTAATGAATCTTGTAAAAATATATGAAGTCGAGAAAATATGTGTAGAATATCCATGGAGAACTCAATAGAGTGACTCTCAACCATAAAATTAAATCAATCACCCTCATTCATTAGGATGTGAATTAGTATAAATAGAAATAAAATGTCACTTATGAATTCACCCAACAATGTAAGCATTTGTGTAATATAAAAGCATTTGAATTAGTTGTGTTGTCTTATCCACAAATTCCACTTTATGCTCTACAATTCTAAGACAACAAGACAACTAATATAAAAAAACTAAAACACCACAACTAATACATGAAGAGGACTTATGGTCGCAATATCAACCAAATCCCGGAATCTAAGTTTTTCTACAATCATCAAAACCGAATTTCATGCTCTCAAATAAGATATCAGCTCCAAAATGGACTAATAATTTCTTGGCCTTTTTCATTAGTCATTTACTCGATAGAGTATAAATATCATTCTAACACTTTTGCTCAATTATAAATTTCGCAACTTAAAGACTAAAAACAAAATTACAATCTACAGTTCTTGACCAGAGTAAAAAAAAACGATCTACTCAACCCGCTGTCGGCTTACGATCTACTCAACCGTTGTCGGCTTAAATGAAAGGAAGCGAAGATAATTTTACAAAAATCTAAGAAGCTCGCTGATGTTTCACCAAAACTCTCGTATATTCGCTGCTCAAGATTCTCGTGGACAATATGTCAGTAGAAGTCATTTACTCTACATTTTGAGAGAGGGCACCGTATATTAGAAATAATAATAAATATGTTTAATATAACGAACAATTTTCTGACTTTTAATATTTTATTGACATATTTAACTTTCCCAGTTTTCTTGGAATGCTTTGGCCTAGATGAGGAATCTATTAAGCGTAGAACACCAATGTTGAGGGATGTTGCGATATCACCGTTCAAAAATCCCATGACTTGTGGCTGTCGGAATAATATCTACAAAATAAAAATATCTGCAAAAGAAGATACCGGGATTTGAGAAAGAATGGTTGTAGAGAAAAACTTGTAGTCAAGTCCCTAAGCTCTCAAGAACCAATGAACTTTATCCATGTTTGCCAGTAGGACGACCAATAGCTGGTAGATGATCACAAATGCCTTTACAAAGTCGAGATAACTCAGCCACGAATTTTGAGCCTCGCTGCATTAGTTGAAGCTCGTCCTTGAGTTGGATTTCTCGAGTCTTAGATATATGAGAAAATGAGGCATCAAGCAGGGGCGAGTCCACCCCCGGGCAGGGGTGGACTCATGCCCACCCTCATTTTTTAATTTTTCCCCTATATTATATCATATTTCTATTTACCCCACCCAAATTATATTAACTAGCCCACCCAAAATTTCAATTAATACAAAAAGAAGTCCCATATTTTATTAATTAGCCTACCCAAAATTTAAATTAATACAAAAAAGTCCCAAATTTTATTAATTAGCCCACCCAAAATCCAAATTAATTCAAAACAAAAACACTCTAAAATTTGTTTTTTTTTTCTTCCGTTTCTTCTTTTCCTATTTTCACAAAAATCCTAAAAAAATCTCGGGGGCGCTGCCCCTGAACTCCTGAAAATTGAAGCCCCCATGTACCGAATTCCTGGACTCGCCACTGGCATCAAGAGTGGTCCTGGCCTCATGAGCATGACATAGAACCCAAGTATTCTGCTCATAGACTCCTCGGTACGAGAAGAATATTCCGCCTCGATCAAAACCGTCCAACTCTTCTCAGCGGTTTGTCACACATGTTTTATGCTTAGTGTGGTTTAAACCTCATACGTGGTTTATTATTGCACGAGAATGGAGATTTACGCATTACGTCCAAATGGTTAGTTGGAGATTCATCAATTAGGGGTGAAAAAAAAAAAAAAAAAGGTTCCAAGCTCTTTTCTAATTGGCCCAACCGGATTCAGCCCAACAAGTCTACAGCCGATGTTAAAAGTTAAAACCAAAGCCCAACAAGGCCCGGCCCGGCCCGACCCGACCCGATCCACAAAATCTGAAATCGGCCGAATTTTCTTGAAATTCAACTCCGGTTCGTGCAGTTCTACTCCATCGCAGCAAACAAAACAACACATTTCCGCCATTGATCCTTTTGTTTTTCCCACCCAATATTTATGAATCAAACCAGTTTCCAATTCCATTAGCTTCATCCCTGCTCATAAATTGAAGGAGAAATCTGAAAAGATGATGTCCCCAAATCAAATCTCCGAAAATCGGGGCCTTTCTCGCCCCCCTACTTTCAGGTGAGCCGATTGCAACAAGTCTTGTGCGCTAATTAATGATTATTCGTTGATAATTAATCATCCTCATTCTTCATTTGTAGTAGCTTAATTTAATTTTTGGCGAGTTGATTGAAAATTCCTCGGTTCTTAGTTTTCGGGTTGGTGGAAATTTATTCTCACTGACTGAGTCTCCTGCGCTAATTAGTGATTATTCGTTGATAATTTTGCTAATTAAATCATCCGCATTCTTCATTTGTAGTAGCTTATTTTTTGTGAGTTGATTGAAATTTCACAGTTCTTAGTTTTGCGGGTTGTGGGAAATTTATTCTCACTGACTGAGTTTCCTACTGTATGAAACACACAAATATCACTACTGGTTGATTTAGGTAGCTACAGTTATATCAATTGCATGTACATGGATTTGAGAGACTGCATTTTGTTATAAGAAGGACTATTTGGTTATAAAATCAAGTTTAGTGTGTGTATTAGGGTTTAGAACGTCGTCGCTAAAGAACTCGAGAACAATTTTGGTTCAGTTTTTAGGGTTCTTGTTTTAATAAAAGACTAGTTTTTTCGAGATACGGTACCCACCAGAGTTGGATTCTGTTCTAGAGTCATTTCTGATAATGGGGGTGTGAAAATATATTTAAATGGGAACTGTGTCGATCCTTTTCATGTTTCTCATTTGATTAATCGGATTGTGGTTTGGACGCAGGCAAACCCCATTGCAGGTCATTCATTTTATCGGTAACCTCATGAGAATTTGGTCGGTCTACTCTGTGCATCGCTATTTGTCTCAAACGGGGGCTTCGGTTGTTTTGTTTATCTTCAGCTGTCTTGTTCCATCATCTATTATATTTTTACTTTTGCAAAGACCTTGGAAGGGCAGGCCTCTTTCTACTAATCAGGTCATTACGGAGCGTTATTTTTCGCTATTTCTCTCCTTGCTTGTTCGAACATGAGAGAAATTTGACGTGAATATTTTTGCTTACATGGTGTATCATCTTATCCTTTGTGTAGGTAGTGCCTTCTGTGATAAACGGGGGTATAACAGCCCTATACTTCATCCTGTGGGGAAAGGGGCTTAAAACTTGCGGTCCTCTCAGGTGAACTTTTAAATTCAAATTCATTTACAGTTGTTTGAATGCGTTTCTTCTGCTTCTATCACTACCGAAAGAAGATGAATACAGGAGATACTTGAAAATAATTTGTCATCTAACTTGCAATTATATCTAGTTTAAGTGAACTTCGAAGTCTGGATTTTCTGTATGCCAACAACTGAGCACAATGGGGCATGACCACCTTAATATAGTTAAATGATTTCTCTGAAGTCACAACGTATGCAAGATTTAAATGAGTTTAAAGACTGCCACTGAAGAACTTAGTGATTTTAATGTCAGGATCATATTGGCCGAGTACTCTGGTGCTGTTCTTGGAGTGTTATCCGCAGTCGTGTACAGGAGAGGCAATGTTTGGAAAAAGGTACTTTTTCGACATATGTATATTTCCATGTTTTACCCGATTTCACTAAAAACTCAAAAATTCAGTAGGAGATACACATGACATTATTTGTATCTTATTTTCAATTGCTAGGTTATTACTCCCTCCTTCCCTTAATATTTGTCACTTTGGCCAATTTTTCATATTTCAAATTATTTGTCATTTCACTATTCCAATGAATAATTAATTGCAATTTTTTCAATTTTGCCCTTTCTCACTCATAATTAATTGAAATATAATTATTTTAAAATCAATTAATGGCATGGGCATTTTAGTGATTTACTATACTTTTTGCTACTATCTATGCATATTTATTGAGTTTCTTAATATGTGTGCAACTAACAAAAGTGACAACTATTGAGGGAAGGAGGGAGTACTTTTCAATTGCATTGACAACTTGACATATATGAAGTGTAGGGACTTCCTTATGGATGCATGTTGAAGTGTCAGTTAAAATACATGCTAAACAGACTTCAATAGCGTGGTTAAAATGTTAAATTAATACCACCAGCTTACCATTAATATTTACCATAGGCCGACTGCTGTCGGAATCAAGAAATGTGGCGTACCATATATTTTTTTGGGAAAAGTGTTGCTCAATCTGTTTACTTGGCCGGCTATTTTAACTCGTTAGAAATTCCTTCTTGTTTGTCAGGTAGGTGGTCTCTTGGCAATGTTGGCATCATTCTACTTCCTGTCTCAAGGATGGGCATTCGCCACGGGATTTCCTTTTTATATCCTTTCCAAATTGAGCTACTCTTAATTTTGTAAAGTTATGTTTAGCTCTCACAATAATACGTTCTTCTGTAATTACAATTTTGACCCAGTTAATGATGAACTTAACTGAAAAATACCATTTAGTGACAGTCAAGATGCAGAGGTTCAGCCGGAAGAAGTTTTAGAAGTTAAAGATATGTTAATTCCACTCTTAGCTGGAATTTTATCTGCGTTAAGAAGAGTGATATCAAGACGTGTCTCTCTTAAGGTATTCACAGTTTTATTTACGGTAAAACTGCAAACCTAGAAAAGAGAAACTAGATTTGACATTTAACTGTCTTATTCTATTATTCCAGAATCAACTTAAAAGGCGGCTTAATGCGATAAGCATTGCTTCTGCTACCTGCTTTCTGTTCCCCGTTGCCATGTGGGACATGATCATTGTGAGTTTGATTTTCTGGCTTGTTTTTTAATTGTAATTGAATAAATACATGTTATTCTTCGTATTACTTGTTTTAATCATTTGTTTCCTTTTATCTCTTAACTCCTCCATTTTCCCATGTGATACAACCATGGCTTGGTCTTAAACCCATCTTTGATTTGCTACTTTTTCGTGTAAAAAATTTCAGGGTTCGACCAGTGTAGAATTGCCATTTTCTGCTTGGGCCTTTTCAAGTTTCGTCCTGTTCGGAATTATCTTGATATTTTATGTGGACAGTATAGCAGAGGAGAGGTAATCCACTGTGTCCTTAAAATGGACTTTCATTTAATTTTTTATTTAATGAATGTAATCTGGTTTATCAACACTAAATGCATAATCGACCTTCTCTGGGATTAATCATTCTCATTGCCTTCTATTCCTTTTGTTTTCCTCCAAAATAATCTGGTGCAAATTTTGCTAGATTAATCTCTGGGGGTTACGCCTTTCGTTTACGAGTCCCAGGATATACCCGGAAGATGGTATGAAGACTATTAACTGCAGAACCCCAAAAGAAAAGGGAAAAAAAACAATCTAATATTACTTTATGACTAATGGCACACTGATTACATGTTGATGAACTTACAATTACACCTGCATGGATGACTACTATCATCCATGCAGTGAGGTTGTATACAATATTAGGTTTCTTGCTTCACTTGAGGTGTGAAGATATTTAGCATCATGCATATCTAAAATATAGACACGTTCTTGTTGTTTTATGAAATTACGTCTGCTGGTCCTTTTCCATTACATCTGCTGATGTTCTCAATCCTTTTCGATGCCCCTCTAGAAAAACAAAGGTTAACAAAATTATTTTAACAAGTGATTACTTACATCTCTCGTTGTCGTTTTTTAGTCACATTCTTCTATATTTTTAGTGAATATAGGCATTGTATATCAGCACAACTGGTAGCATTTGCAGTTACTTATACCTTGACGTGTTATATATATATTTTTTTATTGAATGAAAATATGAGATACTGTAATCGCCAATCTGCACCGGTGCATGACGTATTGATATTAAGTATTTATTTGCAGATTGCATATGGTGTTTTCATCTCAAAGGCATTTACTGGTTGCTGGTGGCTGCGTCATTATCATGGAGATTGTGTACAAAATGGACTTTTCCCTGCTCGGGTTTTTACTTTGTGCAGCCATTTTGGGCTTTGGTATGAATTGCAGATTTTCTTTCAATTTATTTTTCTTTTGCTAATGAAGATACGGCCTTATGTGATGATTTAATTACACGGGTAAAACCAGGTTCATGATTACTGTAATTGGTTTATAATTAGTTTATAAGAGTGGGATTAGCCAATGTAGTAAGTCCATGATTACTGTAATTATCATGTGTCATTTTTCCTATTGCATGTCTTATTTTCAGGCATACACGAAGCAACTTCTTTGGACCGTAACAGAAAAGATACTCTGCGAAGTTCAGATACATCCGATGGATTTCACGACGACCGAGTTCAGATGTCAGACCTTCCAACATAAAAGCAAGGTCTGCTCTTCGTGCTTTTGATGTAAGTCAATGATCCCAACATATTTTTTTTTCGTTATATAGTAGCAATCACGATAATTATACACATAGGAGTTTGTCCTTTGAGACACTGCTCTATAGTGAAGAGCAAGAAAGTGAAGTTTCTTTTATTTTCTTGCATATTGAGCATTTCTGACATGGCATTCTATGAATCCTTAAAATCAGCAGTAGATCCAAGATGAACAAGCACTCTACAAGGTTATAGTAAGAGCGGCCACAAGCCAATTTTTTCAGACCGGGCAAAATCGGATTAGGAACATCGGCAAACTTTTGAGCTCATTAAGAAAGATGAGAATATTTAGGTATTTGGCCCCGAATATCGGTTAATGTACATATCATGCCCCTCCATTCTTGGTCTTTCCAATTTCACAACCATTATTTTTATACCAACGTTGAAACTGCAATTTTTTTCTCTCCTTTTGATAATTCCTTTCTTTTTATACCTTTTGTGTTCTCTCTCGTTTATCAATTTTTTTTTGGAAGTTGTGTTGCTCTGATTAAGATCGAGTTCATGGGCAGGCGAAGTTTGTTTTGTACAATTCGAATGCAGAACTCGTGTATGTAAAATAGTTTAAACTTCCTATGGTCTTAAAGATTGAAATACAAAAAGGATTGTAGGGGAAAAGCAGTGGTTGTTACAGTAGAGAACAAGTAGTCGTTTTTAGTCTAAATGAATTGATTTAACTGCTTGTAGTTGTAGCCTTTGTAATGAAATGAGCAAGAATCCCAATTGGACAGAACAGCAGGCAAAGTGAAACTGAATGTCTAGTCTCTATGTTGTCCTTGATCCCCTCTAAATATACCTGCCTGTGTTTAATTTCAAAAAAAAGCAATTCTTCATCACTCTCAGTGTGTGTTTTTGTGTGTGTTTTGTAGAGAGAGAGAGAGAGAGAGAGAGAGAGAGAGAGAGAGAACCTTGCAGCAAATAGATCCACAGCTAACAAATGAATCCAAGCAGAAGCCAATGTCATCTCGGCGGAGAACATCTTAGCTATACCCGGTAGCTGAACCACATGCGTAAAATTCACGATGCATTTTCATCAAATATTTTCAAGAAGTCTTAATTACGGAACATTATCGAAATCGGATACTCTATTTAAGTAGAAAAGAAAAAGGAAAAACAAACCTCCGGTAACCAGTATTTACTTGCAAACATGAGACGAATCGTCTCGGGTGTCCACGACAGGTAAAGTAGATAACCGTATAGTACACCAAGAACGATATACGGTATACTACTCGCCACTAATTTCTTCGTCTGCGTATCAATAAATAGAAACCAACTTAATTTTTAAACCATTATTTTAGACAATGAGAAATTTACATACCGATAAGGAAAAACAACATAAATTGAGTCTAAAAAAACAATGAGAGATGCTTACAAACTCGGCTCGAGGAGCAACAACCATGGAAGTGTAGAATGGAAGAACAGCTATCGTTCCCAAAGTGAAAGCACTACTCGCGATCTGAGAAGTTCCCACCCCTGCAACGAACCGTAAACAAAACTTCGATTTCTATCAATTCATCGACATAAGTAGGCATTTAACAAACAAAATCGAGGAAAATCACGAAATTGGGTTTGAAGTATAACGAAAACCATTACATGAAGCATATACCGCTGATCTTCTCCTGCAAATTTTATTTCTTCCAAGACTCGTTCTTCCCATGGTTCTTGGTACTACGAATGGTTGGCCAAATAGTTCAGCGTTCATTTTTGTAAGAGAAAATGCACATCTTCTTCGACTAATTTGTTTACACGAGTTTCTAGAGGGTAATCTGGGGCATTGGTCAATCTACAAGCACATTCTAAAACTGTTAAAAGAATTTAGAACTTTCAAGAAGTACAGAATCTCGAGTGGACGAAACTAGCTAGTGAAATGCAGTACCTCTAAAACGACATCGAAAACTAAAAATCTCGGGTTCGAGTATTCTAAAACAAAATGCCTAAATACTAATAAATAAAATACCTAAATTCAAGAACAGTGAAAAAGGGTTCAGTTTTGGTTTCGGTTTCGGTTTTTTAAAATGAAAAAAAAAGAAGCCCAAATGATGAAATATAGAGCAGCAGCATATATATGCATCAAATTCCATTAGGGACCAATTTGTAATTAAAAAAAACATAAATCATAAGAAAATGGAAGCAAGAATTTAGACAATGCATATTATTATCCTTAATAATAGTGGGAGAGAGAAATGAAACGACAGCCATACCTTGAGTTGAGAGCTGGAAAAGCAAGAAGATAACGCCATTCAAAACTATAGAGAGAGAGAGAGAGAGAGAGAGAGAGAGAGAGAGAGAGAGAGAGAGAGAGAGAGAGAGAGGGAGAGAGGCCCCAGAAAATGTATTTCTAGAAGAAGAAAGCAGAATTTGCAGTTGCTTCATTCAACTGAACAAAAAAAACTGACATTATTAATATAACTAATTTATATCATGTGAAGAAACAATTAATATTAATTATGACAGAGTGAAATAAGACAAGTTTGATTGGGTCTTCCATTTAAAGACCATGTGTGTAACAGTGTTAAGTGTGTTCTGTGTTAATAAAGAAACACAGAGCATGTTTCTAGGTGTCGGTGTGTTGTATCTACATATATATATATATATATTGATTGAAGTTTTAGCGAAAATCTGAAGAGGCAAGGTTATCGGGTGAAAACGGTGTCGTCTTCTTCCACGTTTTCATTTTGATGATAAACCTACCTCCATATTGCTTTCACATGGCTTTCTCACACTATCTTGTGCAGCCATGTCGGATTGTCCACGTGGCGCACATGCCAGCACCAGCTCACCACTACTTCGACTTTGTATTACTTTATCCTTAACACCGTTCGCTGTTAGTTGTCACACATTTGCCCTTAACACCGTTCGGTCTAAGCTCTGAAATTACAAAAACATCACACCTCTCAATTTAAATAATTATTAGAAAACAGAAAATAAATAATTTTTTTAAAAAAAAAATCAAGACAACCAGAAAGTATAGTCCACGACGGCCACCGCAATTTATTTTTATTTTTTATAATTTTCTTTTTTATAGTTATTTAAACTGGGAGGAGTGATTTTTTTTGTAATTTTCAGACCTTAGACCAAACGGTGTTAAGGTCAAAGGTCTGAAAACTAACAACGAGAGTCACATTGAGACAATTTTTCAAGTGCAAGGGGGCAAATCGATGCAATCGAGAGTGAAATGAGATAAAATAATATTGAGGCAAAGTACATAGGGTAAAAGTGGAATTTATCTTAAAAAAGTAATCTTATATCTAAGAACATCTAGTGGAGATGCTTTAGTCCTCCATCACAAGTTCTAACTTCTAATGCAATTCGTAAAATATTTAAACTTTAAACTACCCCTAAATAAAAAATATAGTTAAATTTACAAACAAGTCCTAAAGTAAGTTTGAATTACTAAAACCCTCTAATTGTTTCTGAAACTATCCCATTGTTAGTCCAAATTATTACTATGAAACTAGATGAAAATACACAAATAAGTTATTACAATCATCCCATCAATTATGTAATAACTTACACATTCATCCTTGCAATAATATAATGTCAAATTTATCTAAGAGAGGGATTTTTTCGTAAGAAAATACATAGTTGAGGAGGGTAATTGTAATTATCCAAATAAGATATTTTTTTTTGTAATTTGACATTACCTCAAGGAATGGCTGTAATTACGTGGAAGTTTCAACTAAACTTCAACTAAAAGCTTAAATTGGAATTAGACCTAAAGAAAATATATTATTTTTTGGAAGAAACAAATCTATTCCAATTATGTTAAAGAAATTTTGGAAAAAAATGGACATTGAAATAAAAAGGCTTGTTTCAAAAGAAAAAAAAATAATCGGATCAAAATCATCAAAATTTCAAATTCCACAGATATATAATGTAAAATGTATGATGTTTTGAATTATTTTAGAAAATTAAAATCGAATCGGAAAAAATCCAGAAATCAGTTTTTGGAATTCGGAATGAAAAGTATTGTTCCACGTTCAATAATTTTCGAATAGAAATCGTCGAAATTTCAGAATCCCTTGATATTCTGTTCTGAGTTATTTTAGAAAATTAAAATCGAAACAGAAAAATTAGAAATCAGTTTTTGGAATTCAAAATGAAAAGTATTGTTCCGATGTCGAAAATTTCCAAAATCGAAATCGACGAAGTTCAAAATTCCCTGTGCAAATTTTCAGCCCTAGTTTCACAATCCAAGACAATTTCTGAACACCAAATTTTCTGATCCTATTGTACAGAATATATCAAGAATCAATAATAGTATGAAGTTTTCTATACAATGTTTTAAATATCTAGAACACACACACACACACACACAACACACACACACACACACACACACACACACACACACACACACACATATATATATATATATATATATATATATATATATTATTAGCAATGGCTATCAAGCCAAGATATAATATCACCAAAAACCCGTAGTATCATTTCATCGGGTTCTCCCTCGAGCAAAGAGTGAGATGCATCCTCGTATAAATTAAGCGTTTTGTCTGTGCTCTTAGCCTTTTCGTACAATTCCTTGCTTACCGATGGATCGGTCACTTTGTCGTTTTTCCCATGCAAGATTAACAATGGCAGAGATACCTATATACAAATTGTAAAGAAATGCAGGATATCCAACTTTAGTAACACTATACCATACATACATGAATATTATGATTATTATTAATATTATGCAATTACCTCAAAATTTTAATTTCCATTTCAAATTAAATCTTTAATTTACCTTGTCTAGTTGCTGCTCAATCTCTTGTGTGGTCTTTAACAACTCCAATGCTGTCCTTAATCTCGGTTTATGCTTGTAAGCGACGACATTATATGCCGTCTTAATTTATCATAATCCAATTAATAAAATCATGTTACCAATTAAATCCCATCACACAAAATTATAAAAAAAAAAAAAAAAAAAAAAACCTGTTCTCTCTTCTTGACATCTCGGAACGCCAGCTCAGCTAAATCCTTCTGCGGAACGAGCTTATGTTTCGGAAGCAATTTGGCTACTCCGGTTAGAATTTGAGTTACTAGCCATGGTGGAACCATGTCATCTGCAATCTAGATTAAAAAAATCTTACATATATCAATTGATCCGATAAATCGATGATTATATTCTCGAGGAATGCTTTAAATTTTACGTAAATACGCTATGTAGATCGAAAGTAATTTTATTATATATTTTATTTATTCTATTACCTTGCACATTGGTGCAACAAGAACGGCACCATTCCAAGAATCGGGTTGTTTTAGGTGCACCTTTAGGGCTACTGCTCCACCCATAGATTCCCCGAAAATAAAACTCGGCAGCGTTCGAAAATTTGGATTTCCTATAAATCAACGACACTAATTACAAGCGTTCAAGAATTCGAGACGGAAAATATATATATTTTTTTCTTTCTCGAAGTGCAATGTGTAAAACTCAATATTAGTGAATTTTTTTCCGAATTTTGTGGCAGAGCGTTAATAAAAACAATAACTTTAGCGCGACGAATTACATACGAAAACGAAAAGATGAAAATCGAATATCGCACAATACGCAATTATGTTAATAATAGTACCTTTCACTTTAGAATAATGCTCAATGACGTCATCGACTATCCAATCGAACTTCGGAACATAGCCATGTAACCCTTCCGATAGACCAAACCCAGGGTAATCCATCGCGAAAACTCCGTAACCCGAACATGCTAATTTTCTCGCAATCCCTACAAACAATGCTAAAAAATAATAATAACAATAATTTAATTATGTAGTTATATTTATATATATGAGGTACATGCCTTCGAAGAAAAACGTGCATGTATCGCCATAACCGTGACAGAAACAAAGCACTGCTTTGGGGGAAACTTCTTCCGGAAGCCAGCTTTTCGAGAAAATTTCCAACCCTCTCGAATTCACCTCGTACGACTGCCGTAAATTCGATTGTGCTCTTTAGTATTACAATTTAACTTGAATTTAAACACATGATTGAAATATTGCAGTAGGGGCTTTCGTGGAATTTCCATGGGTAAAAATCGAATGTAAATTAAAAAGAACATTTTACTACCTCCATCATCTTCAATCCATCACATGGCATCTTCAGGACATGTAAATTCAAATTCAAATTCAAATTCAAATTCAAATTCAAATGCAGTAACTGATTATCATTTCTTCACAATTAGGTACCTTGAACAAGATATGATCAATGGAGAGCTGAATGTGCTTGAAAGCATCACGTGCACGGCGCCTGGGGCCCACGTGGTCCATGTCAGCATCTAGAATCTTCTGCAGATCCTCACTCAAACTCACACCCTCGAATTTCACACTCTTCTTACCCATCGCCGCCACCTTCACACCTCTCCCACCACAAAACTTGGGCTTCACTACTTCTGCTTCATCACGCCCATATATATTTATTTTCAAAATTAATTTTTTTTTTGAATAATAAAAGTATTTGAAAATAATAATAATAATAATAGTAATAAATAATAATAATAAAGAAAGAAAGAAAGAAATCTAGAAAATCAAGGTTATTGTGGGATATATATTTGTTTTACCATTAATGAAAAGCTTTGCAGATTTCAATGCCATCTGGAATTGCAAATTGCAATCATGGAATATATATTTATATATATATATATATATATATATATATATATATATATATATATATATATATATATATATATATATATATATATAGGGTTTTTTGCAAAATCTCCCCCTGTGAAATTTCTAATTGCTAAAAACCCCATCGTGTTAAAACAATTAGCAACGACCCCCTGTTAAAATAAGTCAAAGGCAAAAAAATCCCTAACAGCTCATTGTATAATGCACGCGCGACTTGTGCGTGTAGGAGTATTTGTTTTTACTTGAAAATTCGAAAATACCCTCGGATTGTTTTGTAAAAAAATAAATCCAATCTGATTTAAATATAAATAATCCAAAACTTTGGATCAAATTGCAATTTTTAAAAAAATTTAGATGAAGAAAAATAAATTGCGTCTTCCCCAAATTATTCTCCCCCATTTACGACGACCAACAAACTCCGACGGCCACCATCACCAGCAAACTCCGACGGCCACCATCACCAGCAAACTCCCACCACCGGCAATCACCTCGTCAAGCTATCGGCTCCAAATAGAGAGAAAAAACATGTCTTCCTCAAAATTCTTCTTCTTCCCATTGAAATCACCACCACCAACAAACTCACAACACCACCTCCGGGCTCCGGCAATCACCTTTTCACGCCGCCGCCGCCGCTACCCCTTCCTTCCACCGGCAAATTCTCAAAATCCCCGCCCCCCTATCTATCTCTCATGTCAGCCACCTTTACTTGAGATTTGATTGTGGCGAAATGTGAGGCATGAACATTGAAGAATCTCCATTATTTTTTTCACAGTATTGGAGAAGAGGGACCTCGATTGGAGAAGAAGACATTGGGTTTGGTTTGTTGCAAACAATTGTTATTTGCGTTTTGTTATGTTTTCTTTCTTTTTTTTTTTTCTTTTTTTTTGCCTTATCTTTGTAAGGGTAGTTCAGCCATTTCATATAAGTCAACATTTAATTTCGAAACAGGGACCGGTGTGCTTTGAAAAATACAATATAGGGAGTTTTTTGCTAATATTTTTAACACGAGGTGTTTTTCTCCAATTAGAAATAACACAGGGAGGTGTGTGCTATTATATATATATATATATATATATATATATATATATATATATATATATATATATATATATATATATATATATATATATATATATATATATATATACATATGTGTGTGTATGTATAATTTGGATTCGTGTTTGGTTGGGGGAAAATCTCATCTCACTGAAACTCTTATCCCTCTTTCATGGGTATAAATGTTTCGGATGGCTGAAGAATTTTCTGCCACTAAATAATTATTTAATTAATTAATGGGTAAATATAACTTACAAATGATTTTTTTTCTTTTTTTTAGGATAAGTTAATTATATTAATTTTTTTTGTTTATGTATTTATTTAAAATTATTTGACATTTTAATATGAAGTCAATTAAAGAGGAGATTTTAATATGAAAAATATTTTGAAAAAGCCCAATAATCAACACACATGGTACCCATCCCAGCCTCCACTCCAATTGGGTGAAGCCTAACTGAAAATTAGTGTTCAGTTCACAGGTGAAATAAAAGGCCCAATCAATTTTTTGTTTATGAATATATCTTTTAAAAAATATAGTTTTTTTTCCTTTTCGATGTACGGGATATTATTTTCACAGTGAAATTTAGAGAATTAATAGAGAAAAAGGAAATAGAAAAAATAAATAATTACAAATATGCCGCATATAACTCGCGTGTTGGTAACAATCTAACTGAAAAATAGGAGATTAAAAAAACAAAAAAAATAAACTATCCGAGTGGATTAGAAATTTGCTTGCAGATTTGCAAATTTGATTTGAGAACGGAAAATAGGAAATAAAATAATAATTTAAAAAATTAATAACATGCCATTAGAACTTTTAGGTTGACCTAACGTTTATTGCTTTTATATATGAGATTGCGGCGTTGAATGAGATTGCGGCGTTGAAATTTTCCGTGTTACATCACATAAATATTGGCTACTATTTTTTTTTTATCAGCAACAAAAAATAACATGGTACGTAGAAGTTTTTCGTACACAGTGCATTAGGTGATTTAAGTCCCGTTTGTCTAAGTTTATTTTAAACAACTAATAACTTCTTACATCTAATAAGTTATTTTAAGAGCATATAATATATTACGTCTTACTTTTAAGTTTTAAGTATTTGAATAAGTTCTTAGACATCTTATAAGATCATTTTAACAACTTAAAATGTTAGGCAAACACCCCTTAAGATTCAGCTCACATGGCCCGATTGCCGTCACCGGTTTTACTATCTATAGAAATTCAGAACAAACTTTCAGGATCAAAAAATAACTATAGTGACTGTCAAAGTCAACACTTCTCTAATATAAGTAAACGTGTTGTTTCGTTAAACACAATCTGCAGAACACCACGTGTAACAATATATGCGGAAACTAGAGCAATTGATTGGTTATTGTTTATACACGTGGCGAAAAGACATTGCCATAGTCAAATTAATTTGAATTCTCTACTGCTATATAAAATTTTATTATTTTTTCATATTTCAATAATCTATTTTACGTGAATATCATAATATCATCATATACTATGTATTATTGACATATAATTAACGCAATAACATAATCTTTCATCATAATTGCAAATAAAAGTATATGGTAAATTACGTAAATCTCTGGGATAAAGTTAAATTACGATAAAACCCTCCTATATTTGGGTAATTACAATCACCCTTTAACTATAAATCTTATTATACGTTCATCCTTGCGGTGTCAAATTTAGAGAAATCTTATAGATTATGTGAATTATTCTCCAGTTTGTACTCGTTTCACCGCATTCAAACTCCATGCACATTTTTAAACAAATCATAAGATGTGTCTCTTGACTTATAAATATCAGATTGTGGTGCATCAGAAATAATTTTTTTTTTTTGCACAAAACGAGTACAAACTAGAGATTATTCCACGAAAATCTAGAATATTCTATTGAATTCGACACCATAAGGATAGACGTGTAATAAAATTCATAGTTGATGGGTAGTTGTAATTACTCAAACATGAGAATTTTTTTTGTAATTTGACCTTACCTCAGGGGTGTCCGTGATATATCGTTAGAGAAAAATTCCAATGTAACAAAAATAAAAATAAATAATGGTATGTGTATTTCCAAGTTTGCCCCTATCACTTGTTCTATATGCTAACTTGTCCCTATACAATATACATGTAAAGTTTTCCTTGTAAAGTTGGCTTGTTTCCCCGAAAATAATCCACCTGCCATATTTCTCTCCTAAAAATCGTACTACTTAATTCACCCTAAAAAGGTTTATCGTACAAACAAATAAATCACATGTTTGATGTGAATGTATATAATATATATCTGAAGAAATGAATTGGTGCGAAAAACCGGTGTCAATGGGTCGGATCGTTTGCCCCAAACCTCGTCGGGCCGGGCCAACCTCCGTCGTCAGCCCTTCCATGGTGCCTTTGAGAGTTCACATTCGGTAATTGATTTGTTTACTTTTATTTTTTTTTTCAATTTTTTTTTTCTGCGAGCCGTAAAAAAATTGTTGTTTATATCGAAGGGCAGATTTGTTCGGTTTTTTTGTTGATTTATTTCTCTGATGGAACAGTGACGATGCTGAGTTGAAAGCCGGTGCTGAATTGCTTGGGTTAATCCTCCAAAAGGTAGATTTCGTTTTGTGATTTGTTCATGATTTTGGATTCTGCGATTCGAATTCACAGTAGATTAATTGATCTGTAAATTTTATTTTATTTTAATTTTTTAATTGCTGGATGTAACGATTGATTTACATTGTTTACTCTGTGTGTGTGTGTGTGTGTGTGGAATGTGAATCGTGCATGGATCGATTGATTTACATGATGTTTTAATTTTTTTATTTTTTTTTTGGTTTTTCCTTTCGGAATGTTATGTGTGAATTGGGATCGAGTTCTCAAAGTGTTTGTGTAAATGCTTCTTAAAAAGGTTTCGAATTTCCTCTCTGTTGGTTTTGGTTTGTGAGTTGTGACTGATGAATTTTCAGTTAAATGTTTTTCGATTAATCATATGCTGTGTTCATGATTAAACCTCATTCACGTAGGTCGCGTCTCTAGTATAAAGACTTTCGAAATATTAGAATGTTTCGATTGTTGATCGGGCCTTTCTGTGTCGAATAGATATTTCGTTGGAATAAACATAGCTGCAAGCATTTAAAGTGACGATTTTTATCCATTTGTTATTTCATCGACTTATTGATTCATTCCCATTTTTAATCTGCAACTCTCTTGCGAATGTGACGAGTTATTTTATGGCTTTTGAGATCTAGAAAGATAACACGAGTTTTTTCATTAATCGGTGTTAATTGTTTGAGCATATCGTTTTTTACCTAATTAAATATTGCGTTTATTGTTAATAGGAGGATCTGAAAGCAGAGCAAAATTCGTCGCCGTTTCTGTTTGGATCTCCTCCATGCAGAACGTCGAATCCTGTAGTACAAGACAAACATTTTGGTGTTGGAACGTTTGCGTCCACATGCAAATCCCCTACAGATTCTGCTTTTCAACGATTGGCTCATCATACACGAGAGCACATCGGGAAGAAACAAGAACCTGTAAGAGTGGAAGGTTTTAACTGCCAAAGCGCCGTTCATTTTCCGCGGCGAATAATTCATTAACTGTACATAGTGAATGAATATTTGATGTGTACTGAAGGACGAAGGGGGGGACGATGAAATAAAAGAAGATAAAAGCAATGAAAATTTGCTGTTTTAGAAAATAGTTTAGTTGAAATCGTACATATAATTTCGATGGGATAGTCGGAGCTTTTCTCGATGCCTTTGTAGTAAGTAGTCTAGTGAAAAGGTAATTTTTTGAGACAATTCTTAGTTATAACTGGGTTTTCCTAATTACTCCCAGAGGAGATACTTTGTAAACATTTTACTTGTAAATATAATAAAAGTTTACTTTTTTAGCTTCTTCAGGTAACCTATTTATGAAAAATTCTTTTCATTTGTTGTGTTAACGGGTTTTGTAGACGCTACACTCGAATGAAATATATTGGGTAGTTTTTGCGTAAAATACGAGAGTATATATATGTGCATGCGTATACGGTGCAATAATATCTGGTAGACTTCACCACGTGTAGTACAAGACTAAAAAAAAACCGTTTTAACGGTCGTTGCAACGAATGACTAGGATCCGAATATTTCTAAATAAATTCCTTCATTCTTAAAGAAACATGCTCACAAATACTACCACAAATCAAACACTCGAAAAACGAAAAAAAAAAAAAACCTCACTAGAAAACAAACATCTTTTAAGTTTTCGGCATAGTTGTTCCGATTAGAACACAATACCAAATACGTAAACAAGAAAAATAAATGACGATACAGAGATAGTGAAAGTCGGCAAATAGTTTTTTAGTAGCCTTCGGGTTTGTATGCAATGAAACTGATCGACTGGACCTGGCGCACGTTATCGAAACCGATGATTCTAATGAATGCAGAAGGGTAAGTCTTCTTCGCCTCGTCAAGCTCCCTAAGCACTTGTGCTGAGTCAGTGCACCCGAACATCGGAAGCTTCCACATCGTCCAGTATCTTCCATCGTAGTACCCCGGTGAGCTGTTGTACTCTCGGTACACAAAACCGTGCTACACACGATAACAACCCACAAAATAATTTAGTAATTATATAATATAAAAATATTTTATAATTTTCAATGATATTTAATCAACCGCACATACCTCGAGCTCGAATTCAATGCAAGGAATTAATTTCTCG